TGTGACCTGAGTAAGGGTGGTCACTTAAGAAAGGGTGATACATCCCACCATAATCCTGCCTCATTAACATAACAAACACAACCTAATGTTCTTTAATACAACCTCCATTTATTTGTATCCACAATCAATGCCCATGGAAACAGCAGTCAAGAAACCAAAGGATGTATTGCACTGGGTAAATATGCTGCAAAAGACCTCTTCAAATTGTTAAGGAGCAGAGATGTCACTTTGAAGACTATGGTGTGCTGGACCTAAGCCATGGTATTTTCAATCACCTCATGTGCATGCAAAAACTGGATAATGAATTAGGAACATTGAAGGAAGAACTGATGCATTTGAATTGTGGTGTTGGTGAAGAATATTGAAAATACAAACAAATCTGTCTGGGAAGAAGGACAGCTACTATGCTTCTTAGAAGCAAGAATGGCCAGACTTCATCTCTCATACTTTGGTCATGTTATCAGAAGGGACCAGTCTCTGGAGAAGGATATCATGCTTGGTAAAGCAGAGGGTCAGCAAAAAAGGGGAAGACCCTTAACAAGATGGATTGACACAGCGGCTGGAATGATGGGCTTGAGCATAGCAACAATTATGAGGATGACACAGGACTAGGCTATGTTTTGTTTTGTAGTACATAGGGTTACTATGAGTTGGAACCGACCTGGTGGCAATGAACAAACCAACAATCTTGCCTCATTAATCACAGGCAGTGGTTAGGATTTACAGCACATTACAGAATGGAGAATAATTACACAACACTGGGAATCATGGCCTAGCCAAGTTGACACACAATTTTTGGGGACACAGTTTAATCCAAGAGGTCATTTGTTATGCTGCAACAGATAACTAATACACTCTTTTATTGCCACTCTACTTTCACTCCTACCTTCCCTCCACCTCCCTCCAGTATTTAATGTATAGTTTGTATTCTTAGGACAATTACTGATGGATTTTTTAAAAGGTATTCCATTTTCATTCCATTAATTTACTTACTTAACCACTTTGTTACATGGTATAATTCATATACAACAAAACTGGCTGACACATTTTAAAAAATGAATTTCACTTTATTTCCACCCTCCAAAACTTGTAGTAACAACAACAACAAAAAAAAAACCCACAAAAAAAAATCACTAGCTCATAATTAACAAAAACTTTTTAAAGGCAAATGAATTCAGGAAGAAATAACATTAGAACTATTAATGATAACATGAATTTTTTCATATTCTTTACAGAATAAAAATCTAATGAAATACATTCTATTATGGATACAACTAAATCTCAAATTATATATTTACAAAAAAAAAATGGTGTTTAAATCTCCTTTTAAATCCATTGAGTGTAGAACATCCTTATCATATATATTTATCAAAGGACAAGAATTGGGGATAGCTATTGGGAGTATAAGTGGCATAGTGGTTAAGGCTTTTGGCTGCTAACCAAAAGATTGGTGGTTAGAACCCATCAGCTGCTCCGTGGAAGAAAGATGAGGCAGTCTGCTTCCATAAAGATTTACAGCCTTGGAAACCCAATGGGGTCACCATGAATTGGAATGAACTCAATAGCAGTGAGTTTGGTTTTTGGTTTTTGTTGGGAGTATAGTACAGAGAACAAGTAAGTGTCATATAGTGATGGCCTCCAATAATATTAATGGCTACATGCAGCTTGTGACTTGCAGGATTCAGAGGGAGCATCCAGGTTCAGTTAGTTAACAGTATCTGCCACAGGTTTGGGAGTGAGAGCTGGTGACATTTCAGCAGCTGTCTGCCAACCAGGAAGGCTAAAAGTTGGTAATAGGTTCCATTAATTTTAGCACCCTTTCCTTCCAGCAATCTTAATCTAACATCCAGATTAGTTGTTGTTAGATGTCAATGAGTCATTTCCAACTCATAATGACACTAAATACAACAGAATAAAACACTGTCAAGTACTATGCCATCCTTACAATTGTTACTATGTTTGAGTCCATGGTTACAGCCACTGTATTCATCCATCTTCTTGAGGGTTTCCTCTTTTTTGCTGACCTTCTACTTCACCAAGCATGATGTCCTTCTCCAGGGATAGGTTCCTCCTGGTCACATGTCTAAAGTACATGAGAAGAGTCTTGCCATCCTTGTTCTAAGGAGCATTCTGGCTGTACCTTTTCCAAGACTGATTTGTTTGTTCTGGCAGTCCATGGTATTTTCAATATTCTTCATCAACACCATAATTCAAATGCATCAGTTCTTCTTTGGTCTTCATTATTCATTGTATTGCATGCATATGAGGCAATTGGAAATACCATGGCTTGGGTCAACTGTATTTCAGTTCTCAAAGTGACATCTTTCCTTTTTGACACTTTAAAGAGATCTTTTCCAGAGATTTGTCCAGTATAATAGCTCATTTGATTTCTTGACTGCTGCTTCCATGAGTGTAGATTGTGGATTCAAGTAAAATGAAATCCTTGACAACATCAATCTTTTTTCTTTTTATCAAGATGTTGCTTATTGGTCCAATTGTGAGGTCTTTTGTTGTCTTTATATTGAGGTGTAACCTATATTGAAGTCTTTGATTTTCATCAGTAAGTGCTTCATATCTTTTTTGCCTTCAGAAAATATGGTTGTGTCATCTACATATCGCAGGTTGTTAATGAGTCTTTCTCTAATCCTGATGCCACGTTTTTCTTCATACAGTTTAGGTTCTCAGATTATTTGCTTAGCATACAGATTGAATACGTGTGGTGAAAGAATACAACCCTGATGCATCCTTTTCCTGATTTTAATCCACATCTTATCACTTTATTCTGTTTGAACGACTGTCTCTTTGTCTATGTACAGGTTCTGCATGAACACAATTAAGTGTTCTCAAATGCCCATTTTCCCCAATGTTAATCATAATTTGTTAGGATCCACACAGTCAAATTCCTTTGTATGGTCCATAAAGCACAGGTAAATATCTTTCTGATGTTCTCTGCTTTCAGCCAAGATCCTTCTGTTATCAGCAATGTTATCCCTTGTTCCATGTCCTCTTTTGAATCTGGCTTGAATTTCTGGCTGTTCCCTGTCAATATACTGCTGTAACCATTTTTAAATTATGTTCAGCAAAATATTACTTTTGTAAGATGACATTGTTCAATAATTTTGCATTCTGTTGGATCATCTTTGTTTGGAATGGGTACAAATATGGTTAGTAGTACCCAGAAAATATTGCTATTGAACAAACTAATGGCTATACAATGACCTATATAATGTTTTTGGTTGCTTTAGTGTCCTTTGCAGAACTGAGAAATATTTGATATTTTCGTCCCTTGCCTCCTATGGGAAAGGAAACAATAGATTACCTTTGGTGGGTATAAAGATTTACTATGAGACAGAATTGACTCAATAGGAACAGGTCAGTAGGTTAGGCTTATTTCCATTTTTTACTTTCTCCAGAAAGGACATTACAAGCTTGCTGTGGAGTCCAGTGACTATCCCACTATGCAGATTATGCTTTTAGTCCAGGAAGGCAGCTTGAGAACAGAAAAGTAGCAGTTGGAGGGCATTATGCTACCTCTCATTCAGCTTATTGTTCTAGCATCTTTCACGGTGTGAGACTTTCTCATTTAGTCATCTGTCCATTCATACATTAAAATAAAACAAAACAGTATTGAGTGACTTCTATGTACTAGGAACTGTTCTAGGAATTGGTGATGAGAAGTGAAAAAAACAGAAGAACTAATGCAGAAAACAGTCAAACATGGTTTCTGCACATATTTCTCTAAGAGTGATACTCCCTGCAGCTAATCTAGACTGATACATGCTAGTAGGATGGTGTAGTTCTCCTCTCCTGACAAAAGGCTGACAAGTCAAACTCTGCATCTTTTTCCTTCAGCTTGGGAACCTTAATATAAGCAGGAAAACAGAGAGAAAAAGCAAAATGTGCATGTGCCCTCCTTTGTTTTCACACAAGGCCCAGGATCCCAGACACTGGCCATTTCTTTCTTCAAACTGCCTACTTCCACTGTCTCAAGGCATCATTTCCTGGGTTTCTCCTCACTGCTAGACAGTAACAGCTACTCTTAATATATTATGAGATGAAGCCACATCATGCTATAGACTCCATGCAGCCTAGAAATAACCTCACTAAACATTGACACTGGCCCAAGAATCACTGTTCAACCCTCTGTATGTGTGTACCCAGCACGAGCATTTCCAAAGAGCCAGACTCAACCACCAGCCCTGGGCAGGGAGCCAGCTTCAGCAACAGGATTTGTGCCACAATCCCATGGTTTACTGGGGGCAAAAGGAAGGCAGAGTTAGCAATGTTTTGGAAATCAGTGATTCTCAAGTTTGATACTTGAGTCAAAGGAAAGGGTAGGAAAAGAGACACGTGGTTGAGGTTGGAAAGCAATCTAGACAAAATAAGCAGTGGTTGGGGTGAAAAAAACGATTTGGGATAAAAACATTTATTTATTGTAAAAACCAATACTGAGCTGTAGACATATTGCCATATTGACTCTAATAATGAATTAGGCCTTATGCTAACTGACTGAATAAGGGACTGAGGACTGGAACAAGAGTGGTATCCCCATGGAATTCCTGAACATGATCTCTTACAGACAGGGAGAACCATTGGCTAACATAACCACTAACAATTGTCTGCTCCTTTCATTTACAAGACACATGAGTCACTCCAATAAAACCTCGATATTGGTAGAAGGGAAATCTAATGTCTGACTTGTGAGGCAAAAAGAGCCAGCTGTTCTAGCCTCTGGGACTCAATTAGAACTTCCTATTTCAAGTCAAGCTATTTCCTCAGCTGTCCCACAGTTCAGGAAAAAGGGATGAACCTAGCCACCCTCTCCTCTGCATACATAGCCCAGCCAACCGCAGGATCATTCCAGATTTTATCAGCATCTCAAATGTATTAGGAGCTCTGGTGCGGTGCTGTGGTTAAAGTATTATGGACAGTTCTACTCTGTCCTATACTATGAATTGAAATGAACTCAATGGCAGTGGGTTTGGTTAAATGTTTTAGGAGTTGAAACTAGATACGCCAATGTGCCTTAGGAGTAAAGAAGGGCTAGGTGAACCCAGGTTGGGAGAATAAATGAGATGAGGGTCACATGAGTAAAGGCTTGAGGTCCAACTTGCAATAGAAAGGCTTTCTACCCTTCCCCAAATGCTGGAAACCCTACATCCATGGGCCCCACACCCCAGTGCCCACTGGGTCACAGCGGGGGTCCTGTGCGGGGTAGTGCACAGGCACTGAGTGCTTGTGGTAGAACTGCAGTCGAGAAAGGAGCTGCTTGATGACATGGGGATGTTCTCTTGACAAGTCATGTCTTTCTTCAGGGTCCTGATCAATATCAAAGAGCCAGAGTGTTTTGGTCGGTGGGTCCAATGATGGTATCTCAGAAACATTGGATCGAGATGGTGGTGGGAACCAGTAACCACAGCCTGGCAAAGACATAAAACAGTTTATTGGAGGAGTAGCATCATAGGCAGGTTCTAACTTCAGAAAGGGTGTGGGTGTAGGTGTGGTGCGTCAATGTTGAGCTGGACTGTAGGCACATAAAAAAAGACATGGCCCTTTGATTACCATTTCTAGATCTGTCTCAGAATCACACCACTGGTGCTTTAACTGTTTATGTCTCACAACAGCACAACCAGCTATACCCAAGAATTGGAATGAGCGTGTGTCTATGTGTGTTGGGGGTGGTAATGGGCAATGGTCACAATCATTGGCATTTAGGGATCAGGGCCATGGATGCTAAAATGTCCTGGAAATGTAGGATGATCCCAAACAATGAAAATTTTTCTTGCCTCAGATGTCAAGAGTGTTCCCATGAAAAGTGCTGCTTGATTGCATTGCAGCCTTAACCATTATAGGACATAGTTTAAAAGGATTGAAAGGATGTCACAGAGAATATGCAAAGAGAAAGCAAGTTCTTCCCCTGGCTGCATCACTGACTGAGGGTGTTGCTCTTAGATTCTTTTTGCTAGCTAGATGTCCTATGCCTTGATA